ACACAGTATGCTGTGTACTTTTACTAAGGTCATGCACACAGTATACGTGTATTTTACTAAGGTCATGTACACAGTATACGTGTATTTTACTAAGGTCATGTACACAGTATGCTGTGTACATGAGGGGGTGTGGGGAATGTGCTTTCATCCCTTCTTTAAATATGCTGCGAGTGCCTCTCTTGCAAAGTCTGATTAAAAGGAAGAGGATGAGGAGGAGAACAAGGAGTTCCACTCCATCACCTCCTGAAAGAGTCTGCCACTCAGCAACTTGGACATTCCAAGCAGTCCACAAGATGGCCGACTGAGAACATTTGTGTATAGTAAACTCTGTATATAGTACAAAAATTCAAGAGTTCTGCCTGACCCAAACTGTGGCCTTGACGCCGGACTTATCTCAACTCCTACTGGAATGTTTAGAAAACAACAAAGATGCTTTGACTGTCTCCTCACCCCTCCCTTCCCCAAGGCCGTGGACATGTGACAGAACCTCAAATGAGCTGAAGATGAACGTCACCTCTTATCTGGACTATGCTACGACTTTCCCTTAAAAACTCAATGTCTTCACCGCCTATATGTACAACGTCTGTTTATGTTGCTTTGCTGTGGTAGTTTTTTTTTTATGCCTCAAATCGTGCCCTGTCTAGGACACGGCGTGAGACTTTTTTTATACCGTCTCTCTCCTCATGTTTTCTTCCCTTTTCTCATCTAAGCAAAATATTATTCTAAATAAGAATAAGAGGGCCGCGCTATTTATTTATAGCCGCAGCTTCGTGCACTCCGCCCATCTTTCGGACGACTGTACGTACGTATTCTCGTTGTATCTCGGTGCAATGCCAATAACGTTTATTCTGATTCTGATAAACTTATTACATTACATTTTTCTTGAACATTTTTGCCTGCTTTATTGTAAAGGTTGCGGACAACCCAAGATTTTGGCGGACCACCAGATTTGTCCAGAAGTTGTCCGCTGGACAACCTGGAAAAGTTCCTTGTGTCTATCCATGTTGTGCATTCGTTTGTTGTGTTACCAACATTTCACATGAACCATTGAACAAATTTTTACGAAAATTGCAGAACATGTTCATTAGATGCAACAAATTAGTTTTATAATAAATACAATTCAAGATGGAGCCACAGCAAATGGACCTTAGCAGATACAAAAAGACTGTGAATCAGCCAGTTTTACTGATATTTAGCTAAAATGTGGTGTGGTAGTAGCTGATAGTCACCATAATAGTCACATATTTCATAGTCACACATAAAATTAAGAGGTAACAGATCATACAAGATCTTTTGTGAGAATGCACACACCCTTATTTTTGAAAGTGTAAACAAAATAGTTATTGCAGTGTCATTTCTCAACATGATTCTAGTTTAAAACCAGAAAAAAAAGAAGATGCACTTCAAGAAATGTTAAGCCTTTAAGTTAGACTGAGGCTCATTAACACAATCGGGAATAAACTATTTTTCCAAACTAGGCATGTTCAAACAGTTATCTACAACAAGTAAGATATTTATTGTTCATAACATTTTTGCAGAATCCATTTTTAAAATGTTTGTTTTTACTTTTGGAGATGCTATTTGTGTCAAGGTTTTGCCTGGAGAGCTTCATATGGGGCAAGAACAGTTTTTGCCAGATTTGTAGAAGGTTTGGACTAAGAAAATAAAAGACTGTTTATTGTTATATAGCAGCCTCACCTCCAGTTCACCACAGTCACACGCCTCTCCCTCCTCCACGTAGCCGTTGCCACATTTCTGCCCACCGTAGAGCACCTTCAGCTCAGGCATGTTAAACAGACACATGCCGACACCTTTCTCGAAGCTGGCTGTCAGGTCCTTTTTGCTGCAGCTGCTGAACACCGTGGGGAAGGGATACCTGCGAGCGAGGGAAACGATTTGTGAATGACACGCGGAGTTAGGACGATGATGATGTTCCCCCTCAAGGGTCCTACTCAATCTGATATAATCAGCGACAATTAGCGTTAATTACAAAATCAATTAACCACTATGGCTCAGAATGCTCTCTCAAAGCTCCATCAGCATGCAAACATTGCAGGGTTGCAGAGACAGCTCTCCACTTGCAAAGGAGTTATGATCAGACATTTGTCATGAGATAGTTGAAAACAAAAAAATCTGTAAAGGCATAGATTTGGGACAACGGAAGTGCATTATTACTGCTTTTAGATTTGTAAAAAAAAAAAAGAATAAAACCTGAGACTCGGCTTACCAAAAACTTTGGTTAAGAACCTCATGTGGCTTTATTGAGCTTTTCTGAGAACGACAGATGAAAAAGTGTGAAATGTGCAGATTTCTATCACGTTCTAAGTGCATGCCACACAATAGAAAAGCACCATATAAGATTTTTAATAACTACAAATGGTAAAAAAAAAAATCAGCATGGGGCAGAGTTTTATAGACGAATTTGAATGTAATGCTCCCATTTATAGCTACGCTTGTCTCTGAGCACACAGGTAAGTGACAGGAAGTGAGAAATTCAGGTCAGCTCTTTCAACAAGCCATATAAAGGGCTCTTGAATTTGGAAATGCGCATTGTGAAGTATGCCATCAATCATAGCTCCGCACCTCTCCTACCTCTGCCACCCACTTTCCTTGCTTGAAACGGTTGACTTCATCCCCTTTGAATGGGCCGGTGAGACTGTTTTTTTTTTTTTTTTTTGTTTTATCACTGAAGTGGGATTTCTAACATTTTTTGCAGTAAGCATAATACAAAAAAGGGCAGGAGTAGCAGGAACATGCTCAACATCTGGAAGTCAAATGCCTGTTTAGGAGACTGTAAGTGTTAGTCGTAAAATATTATTCCATAAATCATACCCCCATTAGTTTGTTTTAATGTTTGTAAACCATATAAACATGACCATTTAATCACCTGACACCAATGTTAGACATCATACAGTGTTTCTGTTTATGTAAAGTAAATCACTGGCATATGCTCAATAATCTAAGCAGCAAAACCCAACAAAGCCAAAAAAGTTCAATCTGGTCCTCTGGACATTCAAAATGTCCAGAGGACCAGATTGAACTTTTTTGGATTTTTCTACCTGGATTACTGAGCATGCATCAGGATAAAACCCAACAAAGTTCAGTCAGGTCATCTGGACGGTTTCTTTCAGTTGAAACGTTTCACATTTCATCCAAAAGACTTCATCAGTCCGAGGAGCTGCAACAAACTCAGTCTTATAAATAGCACCCTCACATAGTGGTCCAATCAATTTGATGGTGTTCAGATGGTTTCTGAACCCCCCCTCCCCCCCCCCCCCCACCGACTCACTTAAGGGAGTCATGGCCTCAAGACTAACCAAGTGTTTTGGATTAAAGACAAAACGTTTCTACAAGTTTTTAAAAATTATTATTTTTATGAATCCGTGCAGAGGACCTGACATAACTTTGTTAGATTAAGTCAGAAATTTTGAACCACTTTGGCCATGACTGCCTCAGACGAGTCGGTGGGGGAGAGGGTGGACTCCAAAAACCATCTGAGCACCATCAAACTGGTTGACCCACTATAAGAAGGTGCTATTTAGAAGACTGAGTTTGTTGCAGCTCCTCGGACTGATGAAGTCTTGTGGATAAATCATTGACAGTTATTGACTGAATAACCTTAATGAAGGGGTGTCCCATTTAATATATTATATGGTCCAAGATGAAGGGGTACAGGTCACAATACAAAATGGGTTTCAGACTAGCTAAAGTTAAGACCTTCCCTTGAACATCACAGGCCTCTCCACTGTCTGATTTTAAATCCCTTGTTAAAACCCATCTTTTCCCCGTGGCCTTTGACACCATCTGAAATGTTGACTTTTAATTATTTCAATTGTTCTTTATTGTCTGGTTGTTTTATTATGTGTACAGCACTTTGGACCTGTGGGTGTTTAAAGTGTTCTATAAATAAAGCTGGTACGGCATCTTCAACCAGCATAGCACAGTTTCACAAAGATCTATACCTATAACCCCAGCAGTTTAAAGCTTGTTTTGTTCACACAGGGCAGACCTATGTAACACAGGGAAAGGTCTTTTAAAGTAGTGACTAATGGCTGTCACTCTCTAAGGTGTTACAACTGGAGAAACATGACTTTAAATGTGATGGAGTTGTTGAGTTAAGTTCAGCCACTCGTGTAAGGCCGGGCCTTAAGTTAAAACCCACTGGGTCTCCAGATTTGGAAACTGTTAAGAATATCTTTTGATTGTTTTAGACTTGCAGGGAGGAGGCGCGTTCATATTGCTCAGTTATGGCAACTCTTTCCATCTGTGTTTCTCTCTTATTTTCACATGAAACAGTATTTTCACTACGTCACAACATTTTGTGTATTCTGACATGACCTCATTCTTGGCTTATCTTTGATGTTTAAAGCAGCTGACATCAAATCCTGAGGCTGACCCCCTTTCCTCCTCTAAACCATGTCCATAGGTTTAGAGGGTGAAAGTCAAAACAGATCTTCAAGCATTCAGGGTTAAGGTAAAAGATCACAGAGGGGTTGTAATGACAGGTAAAGGTAAACGGCTGTAAAAAAAAACTTGCAATAATATGGCTAGGAAACTGTGCCCTCTGTCCCACCCTCTTTTCTCTGATGAACAGCTGTCAAGGTTGCTGTTCAACAGGAAGGTCACTTCCTTAGCAACTTCTGTTGTTGATTTCCTCTTTGCCATAAAAGCCGGAGCCTAAATTGCTCAGTCATGCTGCACCCCCCTCACCCGCTTTTACTGCAATCATTCAATTTCCATGAACTCAGCTCTGGTCCTCAATTACAAGCAAATGCAATTCATAACAAAGACTTACATCCTTGTTTTTCTTTTTCCCTGTCTTTTTTTTTCTTTTTCTTTTTTGTGGAGTACCTCTGAAGTACATGAGCAGTTCAGGGATCCAGCTGTTCTTCATGAGCAGCAATACAGAAATAATTGGTTTACCCGGCAACAGTCCTTAGGTGGGAGAAGGCGTAATGTTTGTGATGGCATACTGGTGAAATACACTGGATGGCATTTAAGCAGCTGCAGTCACAAGAGCTGCTAAAACACTTTCAGAGCCAAAGGTTGCCACATCTGGAGCTTAGACAATGTGGACGACCATCCGAGGAATAAAAGTCCAGCTCACCACCTCAGAAGGGGAAAAAATCAGTATGACTCTGTGGCCCTTAAGCTTGTTCTCAGCCTGTTCTCAATTTAAGATGGGTTGTGCTCGCCTCCGTCTGGTCTTTACCGCTCCTCTTTGTTCTATATTGTACTGTGGCATTGCTCCAGTTTCGCTATGGGCCAAAATCTTTCAAGCTTTCCACTTTTTTTGCTCACCTTGAACCAGCAGTCAGCATTTGATAGTTGATCCTAAAGCACCAGAGGAACTATAGTTGAGGATAAAGTATAAATAAATCTCTGTGACAAAGCAGCAGCACAGGAGACAATGATTTTGTGCATCTGTGTGAGGTCTGCGATTCTGAATCATTTCCTTTAACACCACTGATCTGTCTCACACTGTGATGAAGCTAAAGAGCTAATAAATTACCATGGCAAACAATTTATTGTTGTATTTAAAACATATTATAGCCTATATGCAGTTTGTAAAAATACAAATAATATCTGACAATTCAAAAACAAACTCTAAATGTTTTGAACAACTAGGGTATGTAGATTTGTAGAATTTTCAGTGAGATGTTCTTGCTAACTTGAATAAATAGCTATGTTTACATGCGCAAAATTCTTTGATCGGATTGAAATGTATTCGGATTAAACAATCCGAATGCATCGTTTACATGGGCACAATCCAATCATGATGAGCATTTACATGCAGCGGGCTTTTATTCTGAATAGAAGTACTGGCATGCGCAGCGTGGTAAACTTTCCTTAAAAAAAAAAAACAGAAGAAGTTCTACTTCCGTGATGAACATAAACAAACCTGAGTGCCCAAAATGGACCCGCTCCAAGTTTCAATGAAGGTGGAGACGTTACTGCACTCCCTGACTGGGCTACAGGTGAAGCAACACGTGTTTCAAACACACCTCTTTCAAAGGTTCTAGCAGAAATGTTGTATTGCTCATCGACCAATTTTGCTTCCCTGCCATATTGGCATCTAGCCAGGTGGAAATACATGAGGTAGACATAGGTCGCACATGCGCAGTCAGGTCAATTTTCCACAATAGGAATAAGATAATCAGATTGTTTACATGCACACCATTCAGATTATGAATCGGCATAAACCATCCCTATCATTCGCATTACAAATTCATTCGAATCGAGCTGAATCAACTCAGAATAATCCAAATGGGGCGCTTACATGACACATTTTTATTCCTAATGGCCGTTTTATCTGATTACTTACTGTATGTCCATGCAAACCTAGCTAGTGACACTCATTGTATCTTTATGGATAAATATATGGTAGGTAAATACAATTAGCAATAAATCTCAAATCTATATTAAACATTGCACATTATACACCCATCGAGAAACTATTATACAGCAATACAGCAATCTATAACAATGGCCAGGACAAGCTAAGACCTAGTTTTAACTTTGACCTTGATTTGTGACCTTGACCTTAGAGCTGGGGTGATGAAAATATTATGCAAAATGGTGTCTAGTGGTGGTACAAATGTGATTAAAATAAACAAAATTGATAAAGGAAATGCCTTCACAAACATGACACTCACATGAAAACTAACTATAGTTTTATGTTTTTGTAGATTGTAAGAAAAAAGTCCCCCACTTTATTCTTGATTACAACACTTTTAGGCCTTAATACTTTAACATAAAATGAGTGGAAAGAACCTCCTGTCATATCTAATTTAGGAGCATTTTTGAGAGAATACAAAATGTAACTAGAGAAATTGCATTTCCTGTGAAAATGCAGTGTGAATGCTTAATGCAGAA